CTATAAATATTATAATTTTCTACAATGAAGGTTAACATTAAAAAACAAGACATGATTTGCCACCTCTAACTCCAATGACTCAGTCTGCGGTATACATTTTATGTTTATCCACAGCTTCCTGTCTTTCCTCTTGAGGTTTATTAACAGCGCTGACCTTGTTCTACAGAATCCAGGGCTGATGTGAGAGTATACCTCTGGCTGTTCAAATAGAAATGTGAATCATTGTGTTCTGCAGTATACATAAGAAGTAAGAAAAAATCCATGTGCCAAGGTAATGGTGTTGTTAAAGATGAGTTACAGCCTGAACAATGGGGAGTGATGGGAGACAACACTGGGACCTGCATGGTTCAGCTCCACTCCAAAACCTTAGCAAATGTATTTGTCAACATAACTCAATCATTTTTGTTTAATTCTTTAGTTTTGTCTGCACTATGGTCCTCTTCTTAGTTTGAACAGCTGGAGAACAGCTGGAGATCTCATGAAGATATTTGAAACGTAAAACTACATTTGGAATACATCAATAAATTACCATATTGATTTTTTCGGTCTTGTTATGACAGTGACATTTAGAAATACATAAACGCTTCCTATTTACAAAACAAATAGTCCTGAAATGAAATGTCAAAAGTGTAATTTGTGTGCCTGATTACAATCGATTAGAGGGAAATTATTGTAAAGTGTGTTTGTTAACAGTTTGAGTGCACCTCATTTCAAAGCAGTAGTTATGGTCAATTAAAAGAGAGAGATTTAAAGGAGACACAAATCAAAGCAGCGTGGAATCCCTGCACAGAGATTTCCAAATTCTTTGTTTGAATCTCATAATGAAGGAAAACAACTGACATTTAGCAGAAATAAAGGCAGAGCTGTTTTCCTAGAGCTTCCTGAGATCACAATGACCTTGAGTGAGAGAATCAATGTGGAGGCTGTTTCCAAAGCTTTCAGACGGGTTTAGCTGTCATCATGTGGATGGAGGTGCCTTCCTTCCTACAGCGTTAGAAATATAACACACAATATAAAGCTCAGGTGTTCACGGTGGGGGGGGGGGGGGCAACAACTGAATCCCTTTTTATTTTCAGAAACAGAATTAGTTCATGATGAAGCTTATATTTGTGTAACTGTGCTCTTAATATTTCTATATGCTTTGCTAGTTCATCCGTCTCGTTAGAATGTGGAATTAAAAATACACACTTCTATTCTCGTTAAGGAGCAGGAGGGAAGCTGTGGTCTTTGTTGTTAGTGGAAAAGCTTTGACCTTTGAAATCCTGCAGCTGCTCAACATCCTACACCTCGATAAAAACCAAGGTCTGTGAACCTCCGTAGAAAAGGAACAGGATTACATTGCTTTACTCAAACCTGAGCCGAACAAACTCCTCAAAACCTAAAACAGACGAGCTGGTGTTTCACTGAGACTGAACTTCCAGGAAGCTGCAGGGCTTTGCTCAGGATTCTGTCCTCGTACTGGTTCATTATTTAATTCTTGGAGCATGTATTCAGTCAGTGACCTTCTACAAGCTTTCTTAGTAATTATTCTATTATTAGAAAGGAGAAGATGTTCTTTCGATCATGACACTGTACTTTCAGTTATAGCTCCAGCTCTTTAATAGAGCTTTATCTCATTCATTCAGACTTGATGAAATGTTTTAGTTTACTTTACTTTCAGCTAAGGAATGTTTTTTACTCCGAATTTTAGAATCAAATGTTGGCTATATTTTGACCTCCCTTAATGCAGGGGTTTCCAATGACCCACATATGGCATTAGCCTCAGGCAGGCACCCCCCTCTTGAAAAACGTCTTGAATTCCTGGGACATGGCAGTGGCAAAAATTAATCATGCAACTTCCTAATATGTTGCCTTGATTGGATAAACAATTGTTAGTGTTGTTATTCATTGATCTCATTCAATATCTTTTTGTAAACAGTCATTCATGATATTGAATTCTTAATAATCAACAGTCAAGATCATTTTTTCTTACGATTCTTGTGATGTTATTACTTTTATTTATTTTTGTGTGAGTTTTTTTAATTATTATTTTTAATTATTTTTATTTTACAGGGAAATTGCATATTAATAAACATTTCTGTAAATATGCCAGAGTTAGCCAAAAGGCTAATTTTCATCTGTTGTCCGTGGACAATTGAAAGATTGACATGGAAAAAGATCAAATGGATCTCGATATGTGGTGATATCTTTTTAAATATATAATCATTTTGAGCTTTTGAATCCATTTGATAGGACAGTTAATAGAGCAGGAGATCGGGATAATAATAGAAAAAGTGTAGGATAACATGCAGGAGAACAGCCGCAGGTCAGACTCTAACCGGAGGCAGCCAGTCTGGAGGACAACAGCCTCCATACATGGAGTGCGACCTAACCGCTAGGCCATCAGCGCCCCCATACTGTGATATCTAACATCTAAAAAGGCGTGTGTTATAATGTTATTGTCGCATAAAAATGTTATTTGTTGATTTTTATTTCTGTTTCACTGTTCCCTTCTCTCCAAGTTTCTGCGACCCCCTAGCATCCCCTGGTGACCCCCTTAGGTCAGAACCCTCACTTCGTCAAAAACAGTCACTTAATGTGTCGTACTACAGCAAATCTTTTCATAATTGATCTCTTATAATCGGCACATTTTACAGGAATAACAGTAGCAGCAGAAGAAAAAAATACCAGCAATGCAGAGCAAGCCATCTATAGTATTCTTTGCAACAGGGACACAACATCCTGCAGGTTTCAACAACAGGAAGTCAGACACAGGGAAAGTCATAAATCTGGACCTCTGGAGGAACTAATGTTCTCAGTACACAAGAATGCACATCTGTACTATTGACTGTGGTCGAACTCAAAGTGCATAAAATACAGACAAATGATTTCTACCTGACTATCAGTTTATTTGTGTTACTGCTCAGATGTTGTTTAAGCAATGGAAACAGAAACATTGAATCAATATTGGGCTGTAAGAATCAGTCACGTCAAACTCAAATCAACAACATGGTAACATGGTTTATCTTCGGTCTTGCATTTTCACTCTTCTTTTCTCTGTTCGATGAGATGTTCTGTCACTGTGGGACATTTGCACCTCTCTAACAACACCATTTTGAGGCTGTGGGTTTATAAAAGTCCTTGAAACACAAACATTATGAATAAATAATCATAGCTGAGCCTGCTCCTCTCTGAATTCATAAATGTTGTAATAAAATAGAAACCGACAGTAACAGCAGTAGCTAATGTGGAGATTTCCAAAGCCAGTGCTGTTTATCATCCATCAAACTTCACCCTGAGGGGACATGTGTGTTCTCAACATCTCACCCTGATCTCTGCCCTTCAGTGTACGTGAGTGTCTGCGCTGTGTTTTTTTTTCTCCCAGGTTTGAATGTGTGTATTTATAATGTGAGGCAGGGACGGCAAGAAAAGAGCATGCATGTGTGCTGTGAATGATGATGATGTGAGGGAGATGTGATCAGCGCTTTGTGCTCCCTGAATGGCAGTGATGAGCCACAATTAAGTGACTGCCATTAAGCGTCTTAGAGAGAAAAAGGGCAGATGAAATCAGAGCTGACACCCACGAGAGGCAGAGAGCACCAACAACTGCATCCGACAGGCTAATGTGTGCTAATTACAACCCTGACAAGCAACGCTTAATGGTGTAGAACTCAAAGCTATCCTTTTATTTCATTATTTGAGGAGTTGGTGCATTCATATTACCTCCTTTTTTATTTATGTCTCTGCAAGATGCAGATCAGGATGAACAGGAAACACTGATGGACTCTCTATATGCTTATGGTTATATATGCTTGACATACAAAAAAACATATACACAACGTACATCTTCATGAACCACCTATAACGTTGAAATTAAACTGATGTGATCTCAGTGTTCTTTTCTTCTTTCAGTCTTCATGGCAGACAGATATTTAATAGAGTAAACAAGCATTTAGCCATCATAAATTTGGGCCATGGTGAAACAAAACAAATGGATTATTATTTCAATCCTTTTGATTTGTAACCTAAGGGATAAATAGCCTATTGCCCATATGCCAAATGTTCTCTGTAAAACTCATTTTCAGGGGGACTGTAGGGACTCTTCACGTTGTTTATTGTGGTTGTCACGTGAGGCTGGCAGCCAATGACAGCCTTGTTCTGGCACCGCACAGCGTGTCATCTTTTTACACACCATCGACCAATCAGGAGTCAAGCTCACCATAATAAGATGAGAAACTAAGTCACATTTTCTTCAAAATAAAAGCTTTATGTGTTATTTTCGACTGAAGAAAATCACAGCAGTTCTATGTCAACCACCGTAAAAACATGAATATATTTCAACCTATCTAATAAATAGCTCTAATGATAAAATATAAGAATAACTACTTTGGTTGTGACCCAAAAAGCACGACTATTATAAATAGGCCAATGACCTAAATGTTGGTATTAGGCTACCTGACCTGAACGTTTGAGATAAGCTGACATAGAACTGCTATTCGTGTGGATCAATTTGTCCAGAGAGACAGAAAAAAAACTCTTAATCAACCAACAACAACAAAAAAGACAGAAAAAAAAGAATAAAACAGTTATATGGTATGCAATCGTGGATTTTTTCTTCACAGTAATATGATAATAATTCACATGTACCAGTGTATGATAGGCTACACTAAAACACATGCATTTCAATGGGTCAACGTCAACACTGAAGGTTAAAAGGGGATACAGCAGCACAAGACAAGCTGGCTCATGGTAATGCATTAAACAATATTCTGACTGCTATTATTCTAATCAATTTGAAGATAAAATAAACATTTCAAACTACAATTGTAGGTTAATAACCAAATGTCAACCTACGAATGCGTTTTATTATTATTTAATAATATTAATAATAATAATAATAATTATTATTATTATTATTATTATTATTATTATTATTATTATTTAATTTTTTCACTTTAATTTTCCACTTCACCGGAAGCCGTGCTGTAATTCCTATTTACCTTGACAGCTGTGGAGCTCAACATGCTATGAATTTGTTGCCGTCCCGGCGGCCAGTAGGCTGCTGGCCGTCACACTCACACACACACACACACACACACACACACACACACACGCACACACACACACACACACGGCAGGTGTTTCTGTCGGTTTCACGTTATCGGCCCTCGCGATGCCTTTGATGTGGTGCTCGGTGCCGCCGCGTCGAGCGCGTGCATCCGATCCCTACGGCGGATCGATCATGTAGAGATCAGTCTCGTGTGTGGAGAGGGAAGTTTACCTCCAGCGACCTGAGTGAAGGAGAGAGGCGGATAAATTGTTCGGCGGATTACACGTCGTGGTCGCGTCCGGTAAGTGGCTTTGCAAATTTGGGCTGCTCATGAAGATGAAGGGAGAACACTGAAATAAATATAAAGTCACTGCAATTACAGAATGCTCAGCTGTGTGTGTGTGTGTGTGTGTGTGTGTGTGTGTGTGTGTGTGTGTGGGCTGCAATTCTATCTGTGTTTTGATTTGTGTCTGGATTTTAAAGTCGTTGATATGGGAAACTTTGCAAGGTCATATATAGAGAGAGAGTCGATTATGTGTTGAGTATGCTGTTCTCAAAAAAGACAAAACACATCCATGACCTTTGAATAGCCTACATTTACTTTGCATATGTAATTAATTATGAACAATTATCTTGGATTGACCTCGCATAGTGAGAACAATGGGCGTTGTGTAGTATTGGGTGTCTTAAGTTTTATAGACCTCACCACATGTAGGCTAAATGTTGACTCTAGCTGCTGGCACACTTGTAGGCTTAACCTGTTCTCTGTGGTTCGTTGGTTCCATGCAGCGGTTAGTGGCAGCTGGTACAAGACTCATAAAAAACACCACTAATCTCATCAAAGCAGTGCTGGAGTCTAACCTTAGGGCTCTGTCCAGGAACATTTAATGGTTTGCAGAGTTTTACATCTTTAAAAGGGCAACATGTAGGCTGTGTTGTCATAGTTTTAGAGACAACATTTAGTTTAAAAAAACCTGAGTCTACAAGTGATGGATGCTTTTATTTGTCCTATACCTCGGTCAAATCAGTGGGCAGACCTCGCCTCTGATGGCTTATTAAATTTAACTTCCCATTGTCAGTCAGAGGCAGTGCTCTGAGCCTCCCCAGCTGCCACTTACATAATGTCAGCCCAGGACCGCCACAGTTTAGTGAGCGAGGAGGGACTCAGGCCAAAGTGAGCACAGACAATACTGAAGGAGGCCGGCTTATCAACACGTTACATAAGGGATGTTTTCTTTCCACTTGGCTGGGATGATGCAGTTGATGGTGGTCCAGAAATAGGTCTGAGCGAAGGAGGAAGGGATGCTGCACAGCACACGCTACATGTACCAGCAGAGGAGGAAGAGTACACAGGCGAGCCGGGTGATGCACGGTGAGGGGGGATAGCTGTTCCCTGTTCTAGTCTTTGTTTACAGTGTTGGACACAGTGAGCGCTTGACAATATTTACACGAGGACATGTAAGTGTACTGTTCTTTTAAAGAGGTGGAGGGGAAATGTCTGATAGCTTTCCATCTGGTTCACTCATCTGCAAAGTGCACAGGGGCGTTACACGGTTCATTAGGTTGCATCGCTCCGTTTCAGATCTAAATTGTGATGTTCATATTTCATGGCAGCCAGATGTACTTCAAACAGGTAAATGCAGATGTTTACTGGCTCTTAAAGTGCAGGTGGGAAGAGGAAGCACAATCTAAGTGAAGGTGTGATCTCTAGTAAAGGTATAATCAGAGTTACGCTCTGGGGATGGAGGATGAAGTGGATTGAATTATATAAAAGGTTAAATTTACTCTAGTGCACTTGTCAAAGTTGTTTCATATTTAAAGTGCGACCTGATTTTTGATAAATATGACAGCTGCATGATGGCAGTGATTTCTGATGCCTGCTGGTGGGAGTGGCACTGACGACGTTCATCCATCACGCGTGATTTTTTTAAGAGCAGAGAATCTCGGCATCACGGTGCAGAAAATGATCGTTACTTTGCGAAAGACTGGATAAAATAGAAGTGTGTTAAAGTCCTGCTCAGACCATTGTCAGTGATTGAACTGCAAACTTAATGTTTTATTGCTTGTGAAAATCAGACATCCCAGTTTGACGTGCTGTTTTTGATGAGATTCACTCCTCACCTCTTAAAACTCTCCCAGTGGTCAGCATGTGATGAGAATCCTGTGGTTTGGGTTTACTTTGCATACAGTTAACTAAACCACATGATTACATGCCATTAAAGGTAACCACACAAGACCTCTGCATGTCGAGGTAATCTTCTTCTGTGATATGTTTTGGATAAGAACTCTTTGCACATGTTGTGCTTTTGGGAGCCACAGCAGCAGCAGCACTGCAGGAGCTGTGGGCCGCATCCTAATAAACAGAGATGACTGCAGTGGGAGCTGTGACAGACATAACAAGGATATCACCATTACATAATCCCCAAATTTGCCATCTGTTCTTCAGTGTTATAACACATTAAAAATGAAAACCCTCATTTATGAGACTTTTAGTGTTACCTACTTTGAAGCAGCGTGGAGAAAAGCAAAAACTCCAGATTTAAACTCCAGAAACTATTTCATAAATAACCAGAAGATATCTGAATGTTGCCCTGATGGATGCTTTCTAATGAATTATCATTTTAATAAACCTTCAAGGACTACTAAAGTAGCCGGAATTATATATCAAAGCAACTGAAACACATTTCTTGTTTGATGATTAAAGTAACAACCACAACTAAAGCTGTACTCCGGTGACGTGATATTCAGTTCTGCCATGCCGTCAGGTGACACAATGTAATGGGATCAGGCTCTAAAATCTATCCCCATGTGTACAAATTGGCCTTAATTAGCCTGAGGTCGTCCTCAGTCAATAAGGGTCATCTCAGGTAAAAGAGATATCTGGAGAGGGCCGTAATCTTCCATTACAGACCAAAATGATGTATGTGTTTATCTTCAACTGTGTAACTGAAAAACAAAATAGTTTGCTGAATACATTTGCTGAACACTCTTCAAAACATAGACTCGCACCTCGCTAGTTAATTTATGTTCCCTGCTCTGGTCGTCTCAGTGACAGACGACTGATGACAAATCAAACCTGATGGCTCGTATATTCATGGTGTCTAACATCGTCTGTGTCCTCCTGGAGGGCAGCGGGGTGGATATGAAAGGGTTGGCTGATTGTGAGCACAGCAGGTTCTCAGTACAAAGCAGAGGGGTTCGCCTTCAAATGAACACCGCTGACTGACAGATGTTTGAGTGTGTCTGCTGATTAAGGCTTCCCAGCTGACCCTGCTGGACTCTTAACAAACATGTAGAGAGGGACATCACCGTGCCGTCCTCTTCAGGGGAAGCCTCTTCACTTTTTATTTTTTTTATATTTCCTAATGAAATTAACTTGACTATTTGATGGATTTATCATTTGGTGTTAAGCAGTGAGATTTGTGTGTCCCTGCAGACATGAAACTGTGAGGTCGTGCATGCGGCAGTCTGGTGAGACATGATGGAGGAGGCTGCCAGCCAGCTGGAGAGAGACCATGTGCACAGCGTCTATGACAAGATTGCACCATATTTCAACGACAGCCGCTATAAAGCCTGGCCCAAGGTACGACAGTTCCTGCTGGACCTGCAGCCGGGGAGCATCGTCGCTGACATTGGTGGGTTTCACCTACAGGGGTGATGTAATCATGGTAATCCCATGACACTTCTTCATCAATACATCATTGGTGCTCCTTTCTATTTACAGATAATTGATGAATTTGTTTCCCTTTAAGGAGAGGGATGAATTATTTGATATCTTATCCCAGCTCTGAACATCCATTATCACTAACCTTAGCTGGCTGTCTTGACCTTGGCAGGTTGTGGGAATGGCAAGTATCTCCACATCAACCAGGAGGTGTTCAAGCTGGGGTGCGATGTTTGTCGCCCCCTGGTGGACTACGCCTGGAGCCAAGGACACGAGGTCCAGATGTGTGACAGCTTACATTTGCCTTACAGAGACGGCTGCTTTGACGCTGTGCTCTCGATTGCAGGTAATGTTTGAACACACACACGTAAAGGGAAATGTCCCTGAAGCTGAGCGTCTGCAGCTGTTTGCCACAAAACAAAGAACTCGTAATAATAATGATAAACATCAGTTTACGATGCGTCAGCGTTGCCTGGCCAACAATGTTAAAAAAAAAAAAAAAAAATGTTTTGCCTCTAACAGCGGGGAGTAATTAGGACAAAAGCAGACGCCCACACACTATTAATTTATGCTGTGTGCCTACCAGTGTACATAATGTGCTTTGTTCTCTGTCGGTGCTAAGTGTGACACATCATAACTTAATAAGTGCCTTCTTAATCCTGACAACTTAAATTTTATTTACAGTCATCCATCATTTGTCCACCAAAGAACGCCGTATTAGAGCAATAAAGGAGATGGCTCGCACCCTGCGAGTGGGCGGACGCATCATGATCTACGTGTGGGCCATGGAGCAGAAACGCCGTAAGTTTGAGAAACAGGACATCTTCGTTCCCTGGAACCCAAACCCTCAGTCACCCCCAGTCAAACCCAGGCAGAGAGCCACGGCTCAGAGTGTGAGTGAAGCCATAGACAACAGCGACAAGCACAGGAAGGTTAGAAGCACATCATCGGTGGCAGACGAAGAAGACCTGAGCTGCACCGCGCCTCAGCAGAGCACCCAGAGACTGTGGTTCTTCTCCAGGTCTCTGGATTCTGTCTTTGACTTTGGAAGCTTAGCCATCTCTCGCTCGTCCTCCAGAGACATGAGCACTTTATCGTCACCCGTGGGGGAGAACGAGGGGAACAAGGCCCGCCAGCCGGGGAGAGGGCGAGGCCTCATCAAACAGGTTTCAAACTTCTTCTCCCCGCCTTCTGTTATCGGATCAGAGGAGGACGTTTTTGACTCGGTCACAGATTTGCACAAGGGACACAATGATCCTGAACGCAACACTAACAACAACTGCGTGGGAGACCAGAGTGTGTCTGTATCTTTAGCCAAGGAGTGTGGCTCTCTGGCCCTGCCAGATCTGGTTTCCTTCCAGAAGGAGCACCTGAAGCAGTGTGAAGAGGAAAGTGAAGGAGTGCCGCAAGGAAATGAGCAGTCGGAAAGTACAAGGAGCCTCGAGGGGAGCGTGGAGCAGGTGCAGGGCTCCTGCCTGAGGTACTATCATGTCTTCAGGGAGGGAGAACTGGCAGAGCTGATAGAGAACCATGTGGGAGAGCTTCATGTCAAACACACTTACTTTGACCACGCCAACTGGTGTGTGGTGGCAGAGAAAGTGCAGTTATGGAAGATATGATTTCAACTTGTTTGGTTTCATTTTGCTTTGACTCTGCCTCAAGTTTTAGCACTGAACGACTTTTACACTCTGAAACTAACAAGTATAGAAATATACACAAATAGCAAGTGTTAAAACAACCCCTCAACCAAACCACTCCACTGCTGCAACTCTCTGCTTCACTCTTTTAGGTGCTGCAGCCACTTGTGTGAAAGACATATGCGTTTTGGCAGTAATGATAATGTTTCACATGGTGTCACTAAAAGTTTAGCAGCAGCAGTGGAGGAAGCACAGTGGAGGATGGGTGTGCTCAACAATGGCTACCGCTGTATAATAAACCACATTATAAAGTATTTATTTCATTTCAATACAAGCAGTATACAGTGTGTGTTCTATTTTAATGTCAATAACTTGTTTTGTTTTTTTAAACCAGAGCAAGCACCCATGCTGCTAATAACTTTATCTCTTTTAAAAGAGCAAGGGAATGTTAAGAAATGCACTGTTTGTCTCTTAGGACTTGAATATTGGTTTAAGAGTGATTTATGACACTACAGTATACTCTTCCATCTCCTCTTGTTTTATTACAGCGGAAAGATTTTTACTTTGTTCTTCACAAATGCACGTTCCTTGATTCAAACTTTGAGGAGCTTAACTTTGATGAGCTTGTTTTATTGGTGGACTTTGTGTAAACTTCTCTTGTGTAACTCTATCATCAGAAAAGCTTGAGCAGAATATCTTTGTCGAGGAACATGCTGCAAGTGTGTCTGTGCGTTTTTGTTCTTCGTAAAAGCTGTGTACTGTCTTGTGTTCAAGCAACAAGCTGAACGTCACTGCTGGTAATGTTTCAGCCAATCAACTGCCTCATGTACTGTGAATAAACATTGCACTGTATCATACAGTATGCCGCTGCTTGATGTCTATAAATGACATCAGATGTGTGAAACTGATATTCTGTACCCGTCATGCCAAGGACGCTGCATATACTTATCTGTACAGTAAATGTTTCTTCTAAAGTGACACCGGTACCTTCATGTTTTATGTGACCTTAGGTCAATTTTACTTTATTTTTCTTAATAAATATTTTTTATAGTAGTTGTTTTGTTGTTTTTATTGTCAAGAATGATGCATATCAAATGGATTTGTAACAATGTAAGAGCCAGTCCAGTATTTAATAATGTTAACACTTAAGTGCTGCTGCAGTATCTCTCTGAGGTAAACACATTTACTTTTCAGTGAGCCAAAAAATAATTAAATAAAACTCTGAGCAGATAGGCTCAATTTTTAAGTTCTGGTTTCGTTTTGTAGTCTGAGTAGGGCAGACTGTCATTGCATGCAGGAAAAAATGTGGCGAGCCAAAGAGGTAGCAACCCTTCTACTATCGAGTAATAACAAATGATCCCTTTATTACTCGTAATTCATTTGCATTTTATTGAAGATTACCAAAGTGAACATTTTCTGGGGGTGGCAGTAGCTCAGTCTGTAGGGACTTGGGTTGGGAACCGGAGGGTCGCCAGTTCAAGTCCCGATGCGGACCAAATACGGAAGTTGGTCTGGTAGCTGGAGAGGTGCATGTGCATGTCCATAGGATCCTGTTTGTTTCCATGTGTGTGTTGCATGACTTACAGAGTGTAAAAACTGAAATTTCCTTAAGAGTTCATCTTAATCTTAATTTTTAGTGTACAGCTCATAAATAGACATGCATATAAACATCAAGTATTGTTTTTTTTAGCATTACCAGGTCCTTTTTGTTCTAAAATATCCATCATGACATCTGCTCCTGAAGATCAAATATCAATCACTTTACTTGATTTACTGCATAAAGGGTTCATGTTAGACACTCCCTCCAAACCTGCAGAAAAGAGAGCATTAAAACATTATCCAAGCATATTCAGTCATACAGTGTATTGGAAAAAGCTCATCTGACAGTCAGTCGTTCAGTACCTGTGTTGCCGCTCTGTGGATGATGGAATGTCTCGCCGCCAGTATGTCGATGTCCCTCGAGTAACCACCTCCGATGACGGCAGCCACAGGAATACCTCGACTCACCACAGTCTTCAACACGTAGAGATCTCTCTGATACAGCCCTATGAGACGCTCGCAGTCAGTAAGACGAGAGCAGATATGATGCGTTGGTGCCAATACTGGAGTGTCGAGGATTTCACTCACCGTGGTCAGTCAGACGCAGCCTCCCGAGTTCATCTTCACGATGAGGGTCGACACCGGCATCATACAGGACCAGGTCTGGACGAAAAGTCTCCAGCAAGCAGGGGAGGTGAGTTTCAACTGTGAGAACATCATCAGATATGATTCAAGGTTCACCAAAGACATTCTTCATTTAAAGATATGCTTGTAAGCTGACTATATATTTGTACTAATTCATAGTTCTGTGGTATGTTTTTCATTTTAACTTCTCCAGAGATCAGCAACAAGAAAAACCCCCAAAAATGTAAAGATTTCAGTGCTGAAATTATGATTAGATGATTTCCCTGCATCATAATTTGAATCTTATCATTATAGGAGATGATGGCTTGCCTGTGGAGAGGTACTCCTTGTCTTCAAGCCCATCCTCCAAGCTAACATCGAGGTCACTCTGTTGTTTGCGCAGGGGGAAGTTTTTCCCACAGTGCACTGAGAACGTAAACACACGCGGCTCCTCTTGAAAAATGAAAGCCGTGCCGTCACCCTGTTGGATGTGAAAGACGGAAGCTTTACAAATGAAAAGAACGCAGAAAATGTTGTTCATTGGAAGTGTTGAAACAATTTCACAGCATATAAAAGCCAAAGCTACCTGATGCACATCTAGATCAACAATTAGAACCTTCCTTTTGGACGAGGAGGTTCCCATCAGGTGTTTGGCTGCGACTGCTAAATCATTAAGGAGGCAGAAACCCGAGCCAAAGCTTGGAAAAGCATGATGGGTTCCTCCTGCAGTGCTGCAAGCCAATCCCCTCTGCAGAGCCACTTCAGCGGCAAGAACAGTCCCACCTGTCACCAAGAGAGGAGACGGAGTCAGCGTGATCTCTTCGCAGCAGCTCTGTCAGCTGTGAAATCATCAAGTGACTCGGGATGTTCTTCTCACCTGTTTCATATCGACAGCGGCTCACGATGCCTTCACTCCAGGGGAAACCTGTCCTCCTCTGTTCCTGCTCATTTACTTTCCCATTTATGAAGCTGTTCAAGTATTCCTCCGTGTGCACACAGCTGAGTAATTCTTGAGAGGCTATTTCAGGGAGCCAAACCTACTGTGAAGAAGGAAAGGTGCTTTAATGGGAAATGTCTGGGAAAGGGGCTTTCAGTAATACAATAATGCCAAACACATGATGAACATAGAAAAGCAAGTGTGGGTGTAGTGGAAACCTGTAAATGTGTGATATGAAAACCAACAAACATGCAACAAAACAAAACAACCTCATGTCTTTAAAAATGTGAAACTGTGCAACAGTATTAAAAAAAGAGACGTAAAACAAAGGTGCATATATTTAACATTACAATCACAGATGACTGTATACCCATATGTATGATCTGTTGCAGTGTAGACTTAAAATCCTATCAGTAATAGCTGTAATGTTCACTTTTACCTCCTGCAACTAACAGCGGTGCTCATTATCAACTAACCTCACAGTGTTTTGTAAATGGTAAACTGTCTAATAAAATGAAAAGAGCAACATGTCAACAGTCAAAGAGAAAAACTTCCAATTTAAAAAGAGAAAAATTCAACATTCATTTTCCATTGACTATATTAGCTGGCAAGATGTTCTTATTTCGATGCTTAGTAATAAAAGTCATCCTCAAAGAGTGACTCACCTGATTCTCTGCAATGACCTGATCTTTGAGTAAACACTGTAAAACTCGGGGAAACTTCCCCATGGGGAACCTGTGGTTGGCAGGGAGGTCACACACATACTTCCCGTGATGAATTATGGGAAGTCCGCTGGATTCAAGTCTTACCTGCAAAGGTGAAAGAAAGAAAACAAATCCCTATGAGGTCAGTTTAAATTCAACGCGTTGTGTTAGTGATTGTGATTATTTGTAGTCTTACTATTTCAGCGTGGAAACGTCTGCAGGAGGTGAAAGCTGCACCAACCAGCCGGCCGACTTGAATGCAAACTCTTTTCGAAAAGATTTGTTTCGTGCAGGTCATTTCTCTGACTGACGTGTGCATTACATGAATCACCTGAGACTGTTATGATGTTATGAAACCTGCAAGCTGCTGAAGGTGTCCTGTTTGTTGACGGAAGTTTGGCTGTCTTTGCCCACTGTAACACCGCCATCTGCTGCCATGGAGTGAAATAACATACTGTTTGACAGTTACATAGTTACAGCTTCTGAATTGTGACATGGTGAAATACCACCATCTTCTGAGTGTGATTGAATTCTGCAGACTTACAACAGCATTTGAGTTCAAACCAAAAAGCGAGATTGGAACTTATGTTATGAAAAATACGTAAATACCTGCCTAATTTAAAAAAATAAAAAATAATAACTAGGCCTAATTGTTTGTAGGCCTACAGGTCTGTCAGGAGGACTCTGACATGCTGGTTTAATGAAATGCCGTAGCCTATTGCCTACTGCTGTAGTCCAGGTTTGCAAAATTATAAACATGTAATCTGTTTTCATCTCTTCTTGAAACAGCTGAAAAGAAAAGGAAGCAATATTTACATTTAATACATTCTTTGATAACATTTCTTACAAGGAGGTAAAAAGATAGAAACTATGCATGTTTTGCTAGAAGTCAGCTAGTAGCCTACTGATTTTCCTGATATATATCATTAGCTTATAGCCTACCTATAATACAGTGTGATATAATACAGCCATGGCCTAAACGTTATCAGAAGTTAATGTAAGATAATAAGTAGCTGGATGCTCATTATTGCTGACTTATGGTAGCTAAAGAGTTTTTTTTTTGGTTATGTCTCCCCCATTTAAAATATATCCCTGTGTCCCTCTTTAGCCTACTATTGCACACATATTTGTAGGCAGGTAAGCCATGGACTCTTTATTATGTGTTGTAGCAGCCACTGACAACTTCAGAGCATTTCACTTATTGGATGCTTTTGGGATGCAAAGCAAAAATTAAATAAAAATTGAACACTCAAGTTTATCCAAAATAATTTGCCCACCTTCCTTTTAAACCAGAAAACTAAGTACTGTTAAGAGTAATACTTTTAGCAGTATATGACCTATAGGGAAACATCTTTCAAATAAAGATTTGATGAGTTAAAATCTTTTCAGCCATCCCCCCATCATATCCAAACAGCTGACATTATTTCATATCCTATCATATTGGATTTCATATCCTGTCAAAAATGATCATATCCCATGAAAATCTGCACACATTTTCTGCATTATTCCTGAGAGCAGGGACAGGATGGGTGGAGTCCTCTTTGGTCAACTATTATTCAAGAGGCTTCCTTCACTCACATTGAATTTTTCAACTTTTTCAAATTGACAATTGACAAAGACAAATTGTGTATTTATCAAAACAATGACAGTGGTTATTTTTCTCTGTATGTTTTCTCTCTGATTCTTTGAATTCTCCTCCTCCTCCTCCTCCTCCTCCTCCTCTCTGTCCTCCTCTTCAGTCTCCACTGTCACCTCTCCTCCTGTCAGGCGAGAGCGTGCTGCTGCCAATCTGGTTATGTGGCAGAGCTTCATTCATGGTGTCACACTGATATCATGTCAAAGTCTGTCTTCACTCCCTTGTGTTACAGTTAGGGTAAGTGATGTCTTGCAAATGACGCACTCGTGATTTTAAATGATCCAGGAAGCTCTCAATACTTTTAATTTCACATATAGGGGTTTTTTTTTCATCTAGGAAAATGCTCCTTTTTGTAAACTGAAGGTTTTTCTTGAGCGTGAAAATGCCTCGCTTGATTTCTCACTGTTCCAAACTTGCCTTTGATTAGCTACTTCTGTGTCAGGTTTTGCCTCTCCACCTGTCTCTGTTTTACATTGCTGCCAGGCAGCTCAAGGCGCTGTCTGGCGTACTGTCGGCTGTGGGGTACTCCCATGAGAGCGTGCGCATGTGTGTCTGCAAGATGCGGATTAAAGCAGCCCCCACTGTTAGGGGCTGGTTTACTCGAGGGCTGATAAGACTGCAGAGGAGCGTGTTGGCCCCAGGTGCAGGGGACAGGTCTGCTCATAATAGAGAGAATCAATTATGGACTTCAGCCTTGTTGAAGACATTTCATAAAGAGAGAGAGAGGAAGGAAGGAGGAAAGAGGAGTCTCTGTCTTTAGAAAACATTCCTGTCTTGATGATTGCTGTCTTTGTCTAGCAGATAAAGGTTAAATTAACACAGAGCATGAAAGACTCCCGCAATAGATTTTTTTTTTCATTCAGAAGTCAATGAAAACAATGGTTGTAGGACACCTCAGTAAAACTATATCCATATTTTATGTAACCCTTAGCACAGTGAAAGAGAAAGCACAGTTGACAGTCTGCTAGGCAGCAGCAGCCGGCTGCAGGACAGCTGTTTGTAAAGCCTCACAGCTCTGCCCCTCATTCCTGCAAAGACAAAGGAGAGGCTGACAGCTGCTCAGCTTTGATCAGGTTTTCTTCTTCGCTTATGGAGCAAAAATAATATCATGCTGACTTAAAGCAGAGCTATTTGTCTTGTTTCAGTATTTTGTTGGCATGAATTAAAGTCAGCTTATTCCAGGGGTCACCAAGTTGTTCCCTTGTTTTTTAATGTAGCGTCTAAGTGAACCGGGTAAGTCAAATAGATGGAAACATCTTGGATCATATGGTCTTTGGTTCACACATGCATGGTATCAATGATTTTCTGCACGCAATGTGTGTTTAAGCAAAAGAATAACCCTGTCATCTCTGAATGGCCCTGTCATCTTGGCATGTTTTGTCACGTTCCTCGAAGCAAACATGCTTGTTGTCCAACCCCAGAAGGGGAATGGGCGGCGTTGATGTTTGCATCAGACTCTGGATTCAAACCTACCTGTCAATTACACAACATCACAATCACAACAATGAGCCCACAAACCCTCCGTCCCCTCACCTCCTGCTCACTGCTCCGAGCGGAAGGAATTCGCTGGTTGATTGCGAGTGCTGGCAGAGCGTGTTGCAGCAGGCGAGGACAGGGGTTGTTGTTGGAGCGAATTAATTTGTAGCTGCTCTCTGAGTGTGTGTGTGTGTGTGTGTGTGTTTGTGTGTGTGACTGTGACAGCCTGCTGCAAGGCAATCCCCCCGGTCACATGAAAGGCCGAGCTGATTCATCCCTCATGCCTCCTATAGTCCTCCTATAATCACAAACAAGCAGAGAGGCTGTGAAATCACAGCGCAGTAGTATAATTCACAGTTATTTCAAACATTGTGTACTTCTCAGCTCAGTATCACTGGAAATAACATGTTTTTTTCTGTGTAGTATCACTCGTGGTATGGCACTGACATTATTGTGTAGCTGTCTGGTGAACAGCAGGAGCAGCCTGTCTCGTGTGTTGTCACAAATTGGTCATATTTGAGCAAACTGGTCCCTCAGATAACATGAGAGAAGCAGGAATATACACTCTTACTAAAAGCTTTGGCAAGCCTCCAGGTCTTTATATTTCAGACATTTCTTGACTTGTGAATAAATGCTTATTGCTCTCAAGGCGTTTGACAAAGTAATGCACTTAATTTGTGTTTAAAATAAAGCATATTTAAGATTTAAAACGCCATGGGTAATATCGACACAAATATTTCAGCAGCTGATTTGATTTCTCACCCATTAACTTCATTTATTTTATCCCCCTTAAGAAACTAGAGTTGGGACTGTTAAACAATGAGAGAAAATTGGTCTTTTTGAACAAATAGATTCCTATCTGTTGTTGATAGAGATTAAAAGTTCCTTAGGAGAGTTATAGTTGCAGTTTGGATTTTTATTACTTAGAACAAAATGTGTCATTTTAAATCCATGGTTTGCTTGTTGAAACCTCAGATAAATATGTTCACATTTTTTCTTTTAAAGCTTTAAACAATAGCACATGCTGACCTCATCCTTTCTGTATTGTATTCATCTGAAACAAGTTTATTCTTTCCTTTTTTTCTGTGTATATTTGGATATCTAGTTGTTGTTTAGTTCAGAAGTTGAGGATTGAATTGATTAAAATGCTTCTTTCTTATTTATTTTTTGTCCAGATGAGTCGTTCAGCCTCTCTGGGAAAAATATGTTGGACTCTTTAAATCCAACTAAATTGTGAGATCACCTCTGTATGTTTGTTGTTTATGAAAAAAAAAAACACTCAATCTTTCTGCGTAGTGGGGAGATAAAGGCCATTACCTTTGCATCCGCAACAACCTTGTGAGGATTGGATCGGTGTTCGGGACAGAGACTGCAGAGAGATGCGGTAATGCATAACATCTGCCCATGGGTCTGTGGTATGCAGGGAATCTGTAGGGGAGTCGAAAAAGCTGCAGAGATATTGAGTCAGTCTGTGGTATTACTGGAATGTTTTCTAATGATGTTTACGTTTTGGTATTGTTCTTGTCTCTTTTTAACAGCTGGGTTTGGTTCATGTTACATAAGAGCGCCACATGCAGCAAAAACTCTACCAACACATGTTCATGCACACTTTCTTCAGATATCATTCGTCTATGATGGAAAAGTTATCAGTGTAGCAGGAGGAACAGATGTAATGTCATCATTTTCCATACTGCAGATGTAATTTAACCCAGTCAGCCTGTGCCGTCTTCACAGACTCATGCTTGTTCTGCGTAGTAATAACATAACATTGCTAGCAGGCAAACTTGTAACCATACAGCCACATGTTTCAGCAACGCAGCTGGCTCCATTCCCCCCCCCCCACCTCACTTTAATCTCAGTGTGCCATGTGAAGACCACAGGCACTTCACTGTGTCTGCCCCGTCTTGACAGCCGCGTTGATACCGCTGATAAGGAGGCAGAGGAGAGACAGCGAGAGAAATGACAGAGCAGAGTGCGTTCCTCCAAATAAACTGTCAAAGATTCTCATGTGCAGCATGTATGGTTTTAAGATGAATAGAAAACATCAGGTGTTATTGTGAGCACCTCTGCATCTCATTAACAATTCAGGTTCATGACTCACATTGAAACGGTATTTTAGTGAGACAATGACTCTCCCGTAAATGTGCTCTGTTTTTATATTGCATCAGTGCAATGCAGTAAAAACAACTAGTTGAAGACTCTGTGCCCACCATGATCACAGATGTCTCCATCAGTACATTTATATGACCCAGTACCAACTTTTATGAAACATGTTGTCAACGTTAAATCCAAGTTGGGCGTGTAGTTTTCAAAAAAAAAAATCTCAGTTTCAACTTTTAACTTGTTTTCTTTTGGCTATTTTTGATTTGATACGGGGTTTTAAAGTTTTGTACATCATCACTTTCTGTTGTTATTCAAATTGTACAACACATTCAAATGTAGTAGGAAATGGGGGGATTAAAACTATGTTCATATTGTATTGGTCTCCAGAAATGTGGCAGATATCATCCACAGTTTGTTTGTATTTTACTTCGTACCTTTTCATTCAACTTATTACTTTAAATAATAGAAGAGCATTTTCTTGTTAGGGACCATTAAAAAAAAAAAAAGGAATGATCGAATGTGTTGCTGAGATCTTTTAAATGTTATTATTGGATGTTCTTCTTCTCCTGACTCAAACTGATAGACGTTTTCTAGACTGCTGTTGTAAATTAAACTCCCTGTCTTAATATTAATCACTGATTATAAATTAAATGTAATAATGTCTAAATGTCTAAAAGTTCAGTAAAAGTCTGTTCACTTAACTACTGTCGCTGATTTACAGCTCTGAGGTGATTTTGCAGCTTCTTCTTCTTCTCTCTTTTTTTTACAGTGCTCAGATGTCTGTGTCGCTGACAGTTCTTGTGTGCCGATGTTTCTTACACAACTTTGAGTCAAAATGTTTCATGTTTCGTTGGCAAACTGTCATATTATACAAAGACTAACGTGAAAACAGACCAGAGCAGATTCCAAAAAAAAAGAATCAAATGTGTCCAACAGACTAAAAATGTTCTGTTAAAAAGTGTCTCCTCCTGGTCTGGTTTGACATCTCTAATTCATTGAAAGAGTAATCTTTACCCTCAGGTGTTGCAATTCTTCAGTGAATGGTTCATGAACTCTGTCAGTTTCAATCCCCTGTTCTCTTCCAGCTCAATTGAAATGTGAACAGACTGAGAAATTATCGTTCTTATCACTCTGTAAATCAGCCAAAAAACAAACAGTAATATCCTCTTACTTTACATTGCGTCTTTCTGGAGGGGGTTGGCACCGGGCTTTCCTTCGCTTGAGGATTTGTGTCCTGACCTTGGTATGCGTCCCATCTCTGGCAGTGTGCTTTGGCAGTCTGTCCACGTCCCCCCGGTCTTGTCTTGACATAGTTGTCATAGCGGTGATCTGCAGCAGGAAGCCATGTTTCCATTTCATTTAATTCAACACAGCTCATATGACCTCATATGATAATAGCATCGGTACTGAGGAGATTTCATTCCAGCCTCTAGAATACAGAGAGGCTCAAAGGCCACTGGTATGTTTAGGGCACTAGGACTCACTAAAATGTAAATAAGCTTTATATTTGTGAGCCATGCCAGGTCAGTTGTATTTATGTTGTTGCACAAAATGACAAACATAAACATGCTTTAAAGGTTTTACGATAAGGCTGTAATACACCACCCTTTGACTTAGACTAGACCCCCCTCACCAACTTTAAAACAGTCAAAGAAAGAGCCCCCCCCCCCCCCCTTACAGACATTTAACATACATCTTATAGAGAAGACACCATGACAAATGTATTCTGAAAAAAAACAACTGGCAAGTAAATGCAAACAAATAGATGTTTCATCAAACAACCTTCAGGTGCCACCATCAGTTTTAACCCTAATACCCCAAATGAAAAGTAATTTTCAGGATTTGTGTGAATAAGTGTGGTATATATATTCTCTCTATGCCTTGAACAGACTTATTTTTAATTCCCGATGACAAAATTGACCAACATTTAATGAAGGCAGAGTTTGCCTAGCTGCGAAACCTCAGCTGTAGTTTTCTTTTTGCCAGTTTCCTGTTAGCTAATGTTGCATGCCTACAAACTAAGATAGTGACCATGAAAAAAATGATACTTTCTAAACATTAACATGCTTGGTGGTTTCATTGCTTGTTTCCACTTGAAGAGTCCAGATCAATGCTTTGGACCTCCTGCCGAGAATTATTGCGAGCAGAAAAAACAGAATGAAGCTGCTGCATTACAAACACGACAATCACACCTGTCGCTCATTGGTTGCGTCATATAAGTTTGCCAGCGAGGAATTTTTCAGACTTTTGACTGCTGCGTTCACACATCAGCTCAAATAGATTATCTTCACGCGGAAATGTACTGTACTTGCATTCACACATGCAGCTTTGTGTGAAACACCATAAGTCTTGATAATAGCCAAATATGTCTAATTCAAAGGCACATCAGTATTTTAAAAGAAAATACATTTTCTAAGATAACAGTTTAAGCCAGTACAAGTGTAAAGAAGTCCAAGAAACTGAACTTAAAAATGATAACAAGACATAAGAAACCATGGTGGCGACAACAAGTCAGACTTGACCAAAGCACTGAGAAAGAACATATTTTTTTGGAACATATAAAAACCTTGCTCTCTTTAACTTCCTCCATCCTGTCCCAGGTGTTGTATCTGCCTTCTGTTCCCCCACGGAAGCGAAGTCAGGGTTTTTTCATGCAGGGACACAAACATGGTTATTTTTCAGGCAGGTCCTCCCAGGTTAGCTTGTGGGAACATCCAGCTGTGTTTAAGCCAAACTGTTATCACTCCCACTGGCCTTGGACTGTTCACCTCCGCAGCTCAGATAGAACAAGCTGCTTTCATGAAGTGCAGCCAAATGCTCAAGTCAGTCATCCTCGAGTCTTTTTGAAAATTAAAGTGTAAATGCTGACACAGTGAACAACACATTTCTTTCTTTTGATGTTACACTTTTTCTCTATTTTTTCTACTCTTTATCTATCATTTGTGCACCTGCACCTTGCTCAGACGGAGTAAACATGACCACAGCACATTTGTCTTCTTGTTGCTTCATGGACATACAACCTAGGAAAAGTATAACTTTGTGAAAGTTTTTACTCTTTACAAAGATTTAAAATATTCATCTATCAGAGGAATTCAGATTGAGTTACACCAGTTTACTGTCAGGTTAATGAAGCCGAGTCCTTTCATGCCTCCAGGAACCTTTCCATGTAGCAATTCAGACAATAGGAGAAATGTAAACACGGATATACCCAACAAGGACATCAGGAATGTCACTCACTAGGAACAAAAGATCAGGAAACTTTAAGGTTTGCACACCTTATCTCGTGGGTCAAACAGTGGCCAGTTGACTCTGCTGCTGTGTCAAGCATGGATTTTCTTTTATATCCCCAAAAACAACAACAACAAATGATTTCCACATTGCATTGTATTTCACATTATATTTCTTTAGCTGAATTTGTCAAGCTGACTCCTGATATTTTTCTGCATATTGTAGCTCAAAGCACAGTCACAGTCGATCTAAAATGATAGGCAAGACTTTTTTTTTATTATTAGAGAAAATTATTTAACATAAGTGGAGAAGTAAACTATGACTGTGTGACAGGATAGTGTGGGGAGATGATGACCAATAACTTAATCTACTGCATCAAAGACACCAGTACCAATGACAAAAGACAAAGTAAACAACATAAACGTTTTAGATGTCAATTCATATAGCGTTGATGATTGATCAGCAGGAGGTATCTGTGTGTATTGAAGAGTGAAATTAATAAATATCATTGCATCATGAATGAGTGTAAGTGTGTGCATGGGGCTGATGTCATATAATGTTATGAATAAAAACAGAAGAGAGAGAAAAAACAGCATTTCATTTATCTATTCCCTTATTAATCACGGTCTCTATTAGTTGAAACACCTGTTTCTGTGGCGCACAAAAAAAAGGGGCCTGAAATTGACCTTTAAAGAAAAAACAGGAAGAAGCTTTGAAACATTACCGAGGGAATGACAGCCACAGGCAGATTGTAAAGTATTTTATGAATGAGTGAAGTCAGTGAGCGCTCCTTTTCTCCCCCCCCAGGGCCAGAGGTCACACCGAGTCCAAGAGTTGATTTGTGGCCGTCGCTTCACCAGCTCTCTCCTGGTGAGGAGACTGAAAGAAGAATGAGTGAACAAACGAATGAATGAAAGAACCCCCGGTGGTATAAAGTCAAGCCCAACGTACAGACTGTGAGCTCAGTCCTGTCCTATAAGAGCGGCAGAAACAACAAGTCCTCAGCCAATGAACAAGCGAACGCTGTGACAAGCCCCGCTCATGTTTACTCCGAAGGCTCATCCCTCACTTTTACCCACAATTCCTATATTTCCTACACATTGCTCTTCCTACACACATTCCTGCTAAATCACAACAGAACTATTGTTTTGCTCAAAATGCCTTGCCTCACATTTAGATATTTTTTTGCGTTCAGGACAAAATTGGCTCGCTTTCTGATACAGACTCTAATTTCCAAGTTTGTTCAGTAGATAATGTCACATAAAAATCTGAGTAAACATGCTCTTGGTTTCATTTAAGCATCAAATCCCCTCATGGAGATATCATCTTCATGTAATATGCTCCAGTAAATCATCACGGAGCTTCACAGCTTTCCCCCTTTGACTTGAAAGCATTCCTCAGCTCTCTGTTTTTCAGCCACAGGTCACTGCTGCGGTTCATCTCGCCCCCGCACAGCACAGCTCGGCCCGCTGAAGTTAGCTGTTCCTCTCTGCAGCCTGTTTTTCAGCTGGGCTGGGAACCCATTTCACCTTGTTCTTTTACAGTGCCAACCACTGCTGCTTAACACCCCCCCCCCACACACACACACCCCCTCCCCAACAGCACCCCCCCCCCCCCTCCTCCTCCTCCTCTGTCTCCTTTCTCCTCCCCTTTCCATCTCCCAACAAGTACACATTCTCCCTGCTCTTACGCATACTCTGAATGGTTTAGTCGCTGCTATCTGAACTCCCCTGCAGCCCCCGCAGGGAAACCCAAGAGGAGGGGGGAGATGGTTGTGATGACAAGCTCGCCTTGAGCTGAATAGGCCTATGGGGACATAAGTGTGGCTCTGCGAGGGGTTCAGACTCTCCCTGATCTCTCAGGAACAAACCTCACTGACTGTGTTTTGCCCTGATCTCAGTGACACTGTTTGGATAACACAGACGACTTCTGTCCTCTCAGCAGGTGAGTCTTTGTCCTGTCATGATTGGCAACTTCTTTAATGTAGAACTTTGAACATTTCTGTTCTGATCTGTTCTTACACTCCTTGGCTTGGAGTTCAGAAATGTATACTATAGGTTTGCTTCTACGTGAGAGGACTTGTTCAAGACCTTTCTGTCGAAAATTCTCCAGCGCTGGATGCTTTCTCCCTCCCACTCTTCTAAATAAGATGTGTACTTGCCTCGCCTGTCAGCGCTGCCAGTTCATTTTCACTCTGTGACTTCTTCCCTTCATTTGAATCTGCTCTGCATTCATTGCGGAATAATGAGAGCCTCTTTGCATAGGGGTTTTCTTGGAAGGAACCCTAATCTCGTGTTCTCTCACTTCACATTCACCATGTAGGGGCAGGTTTTACAGGAGGCACTGTACGACATTTCATTAGCTCAGGACTGAATGTTTCTCTACTGAATTTGTGCAGACTTCTCAGCATCATTTTTTTGTCTCCAACTGTAAAAAGTAACTTGAAAGTTAGATGTTGCCCTTGTCTGAGGTTTCTTTTTTATCAACCTATGCTCTGTGTGTGTGCACATGTGTATGTGGGTGTGTGCGTGTGTGTGTGTGTGTGTGTGTGTGTGTGTGTGTGTCTGTGTGTCTGTGTGTCTCAAGGCCATGGTAAAGGCGCTGGCAACTGCAGCTTTCTCACAGAAACTGCAACGAACCGTGTGCAAAAATTAACTTCTTTGTATGTTTTAAGAAAATCTTCTTCAATAACTTACTAGTTTCTTGAAAACAAATATACAGTCAAGTAATAATAATAATACATTCAACTTTTATGTCACTTTTCGGAGTACTCAGACAAAGAACAACAACAAAACAGTGAAAACAACAAAACAAAGAAATAGTCTAAGAGAAGGATGATGAAAACAGAGTTTGTTAGTGGTGGTAGGCGATGTTGAAGAGGTGAGTTTTAAGTGTTTTTTTTTTTTCTAAATAAAAACACGAGGGAGAAATCATGTTGACTGCAATCAGCATTTGTTTTTGTGGAAGTTGCCTGGTTGCTCTATTATCATCTGTCTCCTGAGGAAACTCTTTGTGGTTGATCGAACTGATAATCATCTCCTTGAACACAGAAATGCCATTCTTTGTTTTTCTGTGTGTGTCGGATGTCTCTGACCTGTCCAAGGTGTGTTTTGAAGAGGGGGCTTAATGAAGGGGTGAGTGGGATGTTAACCACAGTCACATAGGGACATCTTCTTGCTCTGATGAATGGTGTAGTGAGTTGTAAATCACCGAGCTGGGAAGAGCAGTCAGATTCCTCTGCTCAGTGATGTCACCACCACCGTGTGTGAAACAGATCCAGACTTGAACGGCTCGGCCTGAGCCAGATGTTGAATTTCACAGCACGGAGAGCTGTTCAGAGCTGCATTTAGAAGCTTTACGTTACACTCTGGTTGTGTATACTGTGAATTTGATCAGCACAGGAAACAGAAAGACATGGACACTCGATAAGAAGAACACTGAGACGTACCGGTATGTACAGTCCACCTGCTTGTACCTGTGAAAATTCTCTGTTACATTCCATTAACATATTTTTGTTTCTCTTCATTTCAGGATATTTGTTACGTCGTTCCAACTGAGCATCTTACCGTAGATGAGAATGGCCATCCTTTATATCAAGCACAAGCACCTGTGGATTTACGTCTTGAATTATGAGAAACTGTAAATTACAAGAATAATGGAGATTCCATCCTCGGGGAATTTGGACGGACATCAGTGTTGGAAAGCTTCAGGATTTCAAAAGTTCTCACCACAGGACTTCACCTCAGAAGGCTGCGTTCTCTCGTCTGTCAACACAGCACACCACAGAGAGGATGATCGCCTCCCTGAAGCCGAAAGTTCGCAGTTGGAGCCGGATGAGGACATAAACAATGTGAAGAACACTCACGTCGCTGTCAGTCATAACAACGTTGAATTTGCGGAAGGTGTGTGCGTACAGCAGCCTGAACACGTGTCAGTCATTCCTGGTGAAACGTCTCCGGAAAGAAGTGCACTGGCCTCAGCTCAGGGTCATGATGCAGGTATTGTATCCCCACTGCTTGAGTCAAATAACAACACTTGCGGTGACTTTTCACTTTGTGTTGCTGTTGCAGAAAAGCAGTCTGACCCGACGGTTAAAGGGAAAAAAACAAACTTTGAAAGGTTAGATTTGATCCCAAATGGACATGTATTTAAACCCCAAGAGGATCTCAATCTGGACTCTACTTCTACCGTCATGCCCCCTGTGTCTGATCCGGATCTCGGCTGTAGTGCCCTGGATCTCCCTCGCATCATAAAGCACAAGCCCAGCTCCATCTCTTTCTCAAACTACACCTGCCCCCCCGCAGCCGATGGACCCACTTTTGTCATTGAGAGCTCTGAAGATGGAGAGTCTTCATCAGAGGAGGAGAGCGACCACCATGATGGTGATAACGATGAGGACGATGATGTGTTCCTTGAGCTGCCTCAGTGCAGAGAGCTGCCTGTCAATCACAGGAAAAGAAGTAAAGAGAAGCAGAAGAGGAGAGACGCTGCATGTGCGCAGGGGGGAATCGATCAGATGACCAGAAACGGTGGATATGAAGCAGAGGGGGAGAGCAGAAACGATCAGGTATGCTGACATTGTTTTAAAGAATCCATAACTGAGAGCTGGCATCAAGTTGTATATGAATCACAACGTTCACTTATTTTCAAGAAACAGTGGAGATGTATTTCACTGCAGGCTGAACTTTATTTAGTTAATTGGTTTATTTGAGCAATTTTAAAATTCAAAATGTTAGTCAATGAGTTTATTACATTTATTTCATTTGAAATGACAAAGAGCATATGGCATGAAATGTGTCAAACTAATAGAAAAACATGCAAATATTTGAATTCATCACATTTCAAGAGGTGTTTGACACGTTCAAATATGCAAATAGTGTTCCACATTTATTCTAAATCAGCTTGAACTTAAAAAGAGGAAAACAAATAACAAATAAACAAATAAAAAAGAGACAAGTATCTGACATGGCCTCGGTTATACTCAGTTACTGTTACTGTATATGTTTGATATCAAATCAGTCCAAGTAACTAAAAACAGTTCATGTAGAAATGAGATATCTTTGTTAATCTAAAGACATTTAGAATTTTGGGTAGCTTTTTTCTTTTAGCTTAATTTAGTTTTTTTTCAAGGAAACCCAAAGTATCAGAATCTTTATTTTCCAGCTCCTAAAAGTTGTTATACTGTGACATAATTCATACTGTAGTAGTTGAGTGTGTAGGAGTAGAAGGAATTCACATTTGTACTGGTGAAACAAAGGCACAGAGGGAACGCAAACAGCTTCTTCTTTCTCTCCGATCACTCTGCAGACTCCATTACTGAACGCTCCTTTTATCTCCACGAGTCAGAGCACATGGAGTCTCTTTTTCACACAACCTCAACTCTGACCGTGGTTTTAACCCTCCTGTAACCTCTCAGCGCTGCTTTTTATTGTCCTTTAAAAGCTTCATATGAACATTCATAACTATGTTCAAAATCTGTTATCCCGTTCCAGCTGGAGGGAACATATCCAGTGGCACATACCTGTCATCCTTCTCTAAACAGTCTGCAGATAATAGCCTGCATGTAAACAGGGCAGAGTACATGGCTGCTGGAGATTAGCTTCTGTGTCTGATTGTCATGTATGTTGATGTAACGGCAGCTTTATGTGCAGATCAAACATTGACAGAGAGTGAAAGAATCCAGGTAGCTGTGGTTTGACTTTATCAAAGGACATGAGGTCAATGGCTTGAATGCCATCACACCACAAGCTCTGCTGACATTTGATTGGCTGCGATGCAGGCATCACAACAGGAAAGTCTTTTATTTCTTATAAAAGGCTGGGAAGGGAAAAAAAAACAGCTGGTTTTGATTTTGTCTGTAAAATACAAGGGAAGGTAAGTTGTTTTCCTCAAACATCATCTGTGCATCAATACCAACGTTCATGCAAGAATGTTTACATTCAGATACTTCATATACTGGTCAAGTGATGTAAAACTCATAATAAGGAAAAGAGGAATACACAGTAAATGCATCATTACAATACCATCATGCATTAGCACAAAGCAATTATAAAGTGTCAGCTGATGGTATTTACATTTTTAGAGCAGCAGGGAAGAACTGGAAATACAGTTCTCATATAATGGGGTGCTGATGAGGGTACTAGTCAAAACTATGAAAAATTAGCATGCTTTAAGACAAATACATTTAGAACCAGCCAAAATATAACATAAAAACATGTTTTTTTAGTCATTCACAGTCATCCAGGAGAGTTTGTGAACGTAGCTGCTGCTAACATTAGATCTTCTTGATCTTTTCTTTTTGGAGGTTAGGATTGAATGTGCTGATTGTGGGCCATATTGTAAAAAAAAAATCTATATGTTTAGTATTTTGAGTGGTACTCGGTTTGAGAAAATACTCAAGTCTAGAAGAATCAGTGATGAAAAAATGAAAAAAGATATTGGACAGTCTCTGGTCATATAAAAACATTGATACTTAATAGACTAAGAATGATTGAGCTGCAAGAAACAGGCTCATCAATTCATGACAGACATTTGAAATCTAAAATAGCTGGTCTCCTATAGGTGGAAAAGAAACCAGCACAACATATGCTGACAGGAGTATGACCATGTGTCTTATTTGCATTAAAATACATTCAAAATAGAGCCAATTAACAACCCCAGAAGTAAAAAAAATATGCAATACGACAAGATGATGAAAGCACCACTTTTACAGTCATGTGTTGTCAATGCATACATTTGCATTTCTGATCTAATGAAAGATACTTACAGTCAGAAAGCCTTTACTGCACTCAAGAATAATTTAAGTGGATGTTAAAAGTTTTATAGAATTGAAAAAGTTTCTGTGTTACATTTTAAAACAATTCCAACAGGGTGATTTGCCGGAATATCACATATAGGTGCAGTAGTTAGTATTAACCATATGAGGGCACTGTATGCACAGGGTTTCCACTCTGTGTGACTTTTCATGGCTGCCCCCTGCTTTCATCATTTAACTCAACTATGACCAAAAAAACCTCTAAAAATCCACGTTTCTCCCCTAATCCTCCTCTGCAGACATGGCTGCCGCTGTGTTCAGTTGGTGTTTTGCATGTCAGGATATTAAGAGTGTAATTTATTCCTCCATGTAGCCAGGTAGCCGTTGCCCTTTCGCATGACCGGCTGCTACATTTGGATACCTCCATGGTGATCTGTGGCACTCTCAGTGGGTGGCGCGGACTAGGCACCAAGCCCAGAGCTCACACACTTAACTCCTCATTTCCATGTCAAAGCCGCAGTGTTGAGGTTCACAATGTGGCCAATTTGCACTGATAAAGTTATAGTCAGCTCACATTTTGTGTCCCCAGAAGATAACATTAATGCATTTATCTAAAGGATTGACTCATACCAGCTCAGTTGCCATGGTGTAAGCACTTCACACAATCGCGGGGCCGGATCGAGGGGGAAAGGCACGGAGAGATGAATCAAGGGTAGTGTCTCACTTGAGCGTCAGACCATCTCTGGAATTTGTCTCATTCTTAGCAGAAGTGTCCACATTCCTGAGCAGCACCTTGTGGGGATGTCACTGAAAAGAGACAGTGTGAATGTGTTCCAGATTTGGCTCCAGCATGTGCCCGAACAGGGCATCTGTTTCTCCCATTAGTGTTTGTCTGACTCCAGGGGTTAATTAGGAGCTCCCAAGACGCTCAGCCTTTCATTTCCTTTTCTCTTTTTAACTCAGAGTAAAAAAAAGATGTTCTCCGGCAAAAATCTTAAAAAAAGATTCCCAAGATCAGGTTTTATCTCCTGATATAAAATAAATGAAATTTTTACTCACAATCCGACACCGAGGATCAGTAAAAAAAAGTTCTTCAACATTGCTTCAGGATTCGCAGCATTACATTTTAAAGCCCCTCTGAGGAGTTTTTAAATGGTGAGGAAAAATAATGAAATTAAAAGTAAATCCTCTTTACGGCTTAAAAGGGAAACAAAACCACCAGCAATACGAGTTATTCTAATGTCTGAACTCACTGCCACAGAGGTAAGGTGTCAGATGAGATGAATCACAGTACTCTGGAAGAACAGCCTTTATTAACATTTTCCACAGAAAATATTCCTCATGGTGATCAGTTTGACTGTTAAAAGAAAGAAGGACAAGACTGCCTTCACATGGACACTGTTGCACAGGATAAGATCAGCAAAGACATGAGGAAATGTTTTGTCCACACAGAGGGTGCTGTAACCGATGCAATCCAAAAGTTCCTCACATGGAAACATTAGCCCAATTCAGACAGCCAGTTCAAGGTGCGATATTTACATCTCTATTTTCCATATTTGCTCCTTCAATATGAATGCCGCTGAGGCGTAACGGGGTGATCCCGCCGCCTACCGCCATCGGAGGTGGTAACAGAGGCTTAACAGGGATGAGATGGGATCAGCGGAGGAGAGCAGCGCTGTGTGTGTGCATGTTTGACTGTGTGTGTATGTGTAGCTTATGCTGAGCCGTTCTCTCTTACACAGAAACTGCTTTAGTATGTAGGAGGATTTTCTATGAAATCAATGTACCCTATTATAAAGCTTAGATGGCAGGTTTGAGCAGAGAGCAGTCCACATGATTGTTTCCTCCGTAATGTGAGGTGAACTTGTTTATCAAATATATTGTATCTTTGTTGTATGGTGTGTATGCTCTCAAACAATCAGTCACAAGTCCTCACATCAACATTTGAAAAGTCGAAAAGCATGTGAGGGCTTTTTCTTTGATAGCAGACACAGAGGATTGAGCTGTCCAAACATACTGCTCTCATGTCAAACCTTTATATTCACTGGCGAGTATTAGCTTGGAGGACAGACACAGCAGAGCAAGGCAGCTTTATTTTTTCCTCTCGCTGACCCCAGTTGACCCCTCAGGCCTCAGAGGTCAGCGGGGGAATTGGCCAGATTTAGGTCATTCATCGAGGATTGAGTGGAAAAAGGCACTTTCTCTCAGTGCGGGGTCAGTCAGCTGACACTGGGTGGTCAGCAGGGCGAACGGACCGCCTGGTGTCTGCTCCTTTAATTCCTCACTTTAGGAAGAATGTGGCTTTATATAATTCTGTCAGTATATGAATCTTAAAAAGTTGGTACGCTGTTAACATGTCAATTTTAAAAAAATGTGACGATTTACAAAACAATTCAGCCCAATGTATTTAAAATCAGGACAAAGACATCAAATGATGAAGCTGATCAATTTGAGTGGTTTTGAAATAATTAAATGTGTTCAGTGTAGAAATAGAAAATGGACTTGTGTGGCATGATGCCTGGAGTTTGTCAAGTCATTTATGAAATTCAGTGGAAAGATCAAGCCACAGCGACCATAACTCTCCTGTGAACGGTTGAGTTGAGGATTTGGCAGGTTGGTTAGGATCAGAGAAAAGAATCAGAAATAGTTGATTGTGTCTTCAATATATCAAACTAAAGTTTGGTGCACTGGTTCTATCTTGTAGTTTCTAAATTGATCTTTGTATTTTTTTCTTTGAGCAGCACTTCCCTTAAACTCTCCATATTTATCATACATGAGCAGGTAATACAAATTAAAAGAATTGCACACTGTACACACTGTATATGGAAGGACAAGGAGGGCATACATGGAGATTAGGGTTTGGCTAAACAGAGGATGAATGTCAATATAGTGTGACATATGCTGTGATGATAATCATTATCTTCACACGACTGAATTGTGGGCCAGTTTGACATGCTTTTAAAATAGCATGAAGCTGCACAACAGTGGTCAATAAATGTTAATTAACTTCTTATCACTGTTTGACAGTGGGGCTTAAGTTAGAGGGTTGACTTCCTTGTTGGAGCTTCTTGTTCGAGGAAGTATCTTTGTTGATTTAAAAAGTCAGCCTCCTGTTGGCTAGATTTCTCAACAACACAAACTGAACAAATGTTTCCTCTCTCAGCAATCGAATTCCAGGAGGAAGTTTCCTTTAGAAATATATGATGTCTTGTAAGTTTGTTGGATCTCAAATGTGGTTCCTGAAAAGGGTCCTATTCAGAGACCATGTGGCATGTGACCCTCTCCAGGACTGCACTGACACGTCTCCTCTCTGTCAGATCACAGAACAACTCTGTTAATTTATGTTTTGGTGACTGAGGTGAATCCTGATGATTTATGAGGCTGGACCTGCAGATCTTCAGACACCACTCTTGTCTGTGTGACGACGGTCTATTTATATACACGGCGTGTCTTGGGAGCAGTGAAAGCCGGTGCAGGGAATTCCATCATGCTGTGTACGGCACACATGTCTGCAGCCCTCATCCTCTGCTCTTTCACCCCCAGACACAGTGGAGGAGATCACTTTTCCATGTGTGGCAGCAGAATCGTCGCATGAAGGAGCATCTGCAATTTTACAAGATGCTTTTTTGGGTTTGCCTGTAACTCCTTGGGTTTTAGGGCAGTGTATTAAACTGACAGATGCTCTCACCTTACAGGACGATGTTAATTAGACTTCAGGAATGAAAGACATTTTTTGAACTCCCTAGTAAACCTGGTTTTACTTTAGATTTGAATTCAGCTCTTCTCCTGGTTGTAAAGTCAGGTCATGTTCTATTTAAATGTGATTAAGCTGACTGATATATTTAACCCTCCCAGGCCTTCATGATGACTTGTCAGCAGTTTTATCTTGACATAAGACTCAATGAACCCCTGAAAAATCTGATATATATCCTTCATGGAGATATGTGTATATAACAAGTGTAGTTAATATGATCAAATACTACAGTTACGTGTTTTTCCAAATTTTAATAAAGCTAATGCGGAAGATTTAAAAAAAAAAAATCTGAAAACTTGGAAAGAACAGCACTTCAAAAGTTTTAATTATCCAAATGTTCCCCCTAAATATTACTTTTTTGGAGAGTAAATCTGATTTATTTTTTTGAATAAATGGCAAAAAAAGCAAGTTGAAATCTTTCAAATACGGATTAAAAAACAATTTGATAAGGTGGATCAATTGTGCACAAAATGTGGTACATTTTTCAGACATACCCTTGAAAATTGGGATAGCAAAAGAGCCAAAAAGTGTATCAATGTATCAATAATAATGGTTTGACTTCAATCAAATAACTCTCAGTGGTTCCCTGATTCCCACAGGAGTGTCCACAGGTGACATCTCCCTGGTCGGAGTCGATGAGCCAGTTGATGATGAAACTGGACCAGCTTCATCAGGACATAGAGGAGGCTCTGAGTGCCAGCTCGTCCCCCTCCGACACACCCTGTACCACCCGCAAAAAACAGGTGAGAGCATATTCAAACAGGCAATTTATTGATATAAAAAAAGAAAGAACTGCATGTACTCTGTTATGAAGCAGCATGTGGTCAGCAGACCTTTATGGTATGTGCTCTGTCACGGTTGGTACTGTACACATTCCTGTGAGGCGTTCGCTGCATACTTGGTCATGCCTGTAAACTTCACTTAATCAATTTAGTTTGCTTCGCGGAGAGAAAATCCCATCAGATTCTGAGACCTGTAAGTAACAACAGGTGTTTAGCAGAATTGAATGTCCTGAACATTTAAAAAAAAAAAAAAAAAAGTTTTCCACATTAGACTTAGGTCTCTTAAATCTTGCGGTGGTGGGCTATAATCCCACTATGTGAAGAGAATATGATGAGCTTATATAAATCGTAACTCTGTCTGTGACTTGTGAGATTGAAGGCTATAGTCTCTCGTCCACACTGTGGGCTTTGTAAGGCCTTCTCAAAGTGACTCTCTGACTTGACTCGGTTTTATGATGTAGGTCTGCAGCCTTCAGATGTGATACTGCAGTGTACAGTGCCTAAGCAGGGTCAGAATAGTGTGGCAGGAACAGACAGCTATTGTGCCTTTCAGTTTGTGACTGAGACCATGCGACTCTGTTCTTAAAAAGGGCTCTTCTCATAGTGGCATGTTTCATAAAATATCCCACTAGAGTTAGCATTTAGGAACAAACGTGCTCTTTTGGGCTCAATATGTATGAATAACACAGAGGAGCTATTGTGTTTGTATGATTTGGTCCATTAGGAATGGTGGAGAGAGGCTCACATGCCTCCCAGGCATCTGCATAACCATCCCAGGCATTCACTATTACTTTGCTTTAACTAATGATGGGCGACTGGGCAAGACAAGACATCTTTACTGGGATGTTTGACAAGGTCATAATCTCTGTCCTCTCCAAAGAAGATCCACACATACAGGCTACTTTGTGTGCGTCTGTCAGGGCTGTATTGAGAGTGGAGATTTCACTTCCCCAGCAGTTGACCTCAGCCTCTTGTTTTCTTTTCTCTTGGCCACCGTTGAGACCATCCTGTCCCAGTCTGTCCGGCAAGAAACAAGCCGTCCCAGTCCTGATTGTTGTTATTGTGATGTTGTTGCAGTGGGGTGCTGTTTCCAAGTCCACGTCAAACCAAGCCCCGACCCAGAGCGACCGAGTCCTCCGGACGGGACCAGAGAGAGGGGGATGTCCGAGCCAGGAAAGGTCTTCAGCTCCTTGCAGCGCCTCGATGGGAACGAGAGCAACAAACAAGAAGACAGTAAGTTTCTCTGAGAATCAGAGCTCGCTGCAAGCAATTCATACAGATAGTATGCAGTGCTTCTGCTGTATTTCTTGCTGTCCAGTGCCTATCTTTAAGGATATGAGAAACTAGATAAAGATAGATCTTTGGTTTTAACTGCAGAATGGGTTGCAAATGTTTTCTGTTTTTAAGCTCAAATCTAGCTCTAGCATTTTCTGGGTGACTTACTTGACCTTCTAACTTCCTGCAATGTGAAAAGTCCTATCTGTAGCTCAGACATTTTTACATTTTGCTACGCCTTAAATAAGATCTTTTTAATCTAAATACTAATTATGTCAGAGGACCTTTTGTTTTGTCTTGGTGACCTGAAAACTCTTGTTTAAATGATTCTGTTCCTCTTACAAAATATGTTCACAAGCTTTCTTGTCGGGCTTCTTAATGCATAAAATCAAACTTGGTGACATTTCAAAATCAAACAATTGACTGTCCATGTAAAAAAAACAAAAACACAAACAGCGTTGCAACAGTGGATGATTTTTAGGATAAATCCCTCACCATTCAGCTGAAATTCTAACATTCCCCTCTGTGCAGCTGCTCTCCCCTCTACATCTGTAAATATTTGAGGTTTGCGTTGGGAATAAGGTCAGCTTAGGCATTCTTAAACAAGCAGGACTCACTTCAGCCGGACAAAGTATATAAATGTCACTATTGAATGGCCCTAAGAGAAACAGACAACTGAGAGATTTGCAGAACGCAGGGCGGGTTTAAACTCAAAGCCTTTCAGCCTGTGCTTTGTGCTGTCCTGATGGCTCTGCTGCAACGTGATGGAAAACAACCTGCTTAGAGGAGAAAACTGTGGTTAACCGCTCTGATTCACTTTTAGTATCCACTTTAGAACATGTTATCTTCTGTTGTCTTGTTTTTAATGCACTACATCTGGTATATTTTTTAGACTGAGAGAGAGGGGTGATACAGAGCTGACCTAAGATTATTTTGTCTAGAAGCAAAGAGTACTTCAAATGAAGTTTAGTTTAGTTTCCACCTGTCTTTTTGTGGAACCCATAATCACCTCTTGAAAATGACAGCAGCTTGAACTAGAACTTGGCTCAAGGACAGCTGGGAATGTTAACATCTGTTAAAGACGAGAGTATTTTGGCTGCGGTATAACCTTGAATATAATGAGATCACATGATATCCAGTGGAGCCTTGTTTAATGGTGTTAGATGAATACTTATTTTTCAAATTGTAAGATAAGGAACTTTACTGAACTTATGTTGGAAATCTTGCAAGTGATAAAACAAAAAATCAGTTTTGTTCAATTGCAGGTTTGTAAGACGAAGAGTTTTCCCCCTTTTATTTAAATAGATGGGACAGTGGATAGGGTAGAAAATCAAGAAAGAGAGTGGTGAATGACATGAAGAGAGGAGCCACAGGTTGGACATCCTCTGTACATGGGATTAACCGCTAGACCATCAGAGACCCATTCTGCTGAATGAGTTGAGAATTAGAAAGAGAAACGATCTGTTCAACCTAAGTTTTAATGTTGTTGTTTTTTGAAATTTGGGTGTATTTTCTTTCAAGCTCCAAATTAAACTTTTGATACGTCATTCAGTCTAATCAGTTGCTCAGTTAGCTTAGCTTAGCATGAACCAGAAGGAAACAGCTATACTGGCTAAGTCCGGTGTTATCCTATGCAAACCTTTTGAATGTGCAAAAAAAGAGCAGAATGAATTCTGCCGTAATGCAAATGCAGAAACCATCAGCAGTCAACCAACAATGATTTACGGTAGTTTTAATGAATGGGCAATGGCTACACCAAAAGCTCAGACTAGCTTGGTATGGAGAGGTTGAGCTTTGACCTGTCTAAATCCTATGATGGGTCAGTGACTTGTTTGCAGGATAACCTGTTTAGCAGCCCAACAATCGACCCCCGAAGTGTCAAACCTCTCCTTGAAATGCGACCATACAGGTGTTTAATACTCAGATGAACGTCATGTCATCGCACATGCAGAAGGATCCTTCCTGCTCTGTCCCCTCTGAGTCTTACATAAGAGCTCTGCAGTCCAGATGTATTGTCTGCCAGCAGGGAGCGAGAATGTGATACAGATTGAATCTCAGTCTCCCGAGTTTAACAAAACACTGGACTGATGTGTGTTACACCAAGCCTCCATAGGCAGCCACTGCTTTACCGAGAGATGTTTGATTAGAATTATAAGGGTAAACCTTTTCCCCCCTCTGCCTCTGTATGATCTCTAAAAGCATGGAATGCACATCAACCTGCAGCACATCATGCAGAAAGAGCTAATGTAAGCTGAAACAGGATTTGAAAGGAGTTGACGTCACTTGTAGTCATTTCTAAAATATAACAGACAATTACTGCATGAAGATGATCTACACCTTTGGTCAACAGCAATTGTCCTAGAAATTCAGTTTCTGTGGTAAAAGGCAAAACAACAATCCTGTGAGCTCCTCTGTACAAATGCTATTTGTAATGTAAAACATAATTTTCATCGAAGCCATGATTGTTTTCATGTTGACCTTGTTACTCAGGACAAAAAAATGGAGCAGACGTGTTGTATACTGTGTTATTCCCCGCTGTGTGGAGACATAGAAGGGTTGAGGATTCCTACTTTTAATTGGTGTTGACAAAGACGTGCAGAACAGAGGACCTGCTGCTCTGTCATCCAGACTGACCAGTCCTGTAACCGCCCTGTTGACTCTAAGGCAGGGTGTCATTTGTGCTGGGACAGCAGCCATCATTCACCCACACAGACCTGTCACTCCTTATAAACATCGTTGTTGGTATAAAGCAAAAGCCTGAAAGAGACTGGGTGCTGCTCCTACAAGGTGGATGTCACTTTACCCGACCTGCAACCTTTGACATGTGTCCACTCTCTGACTGGACTGGACCATGGGGGGATGTATGTTTAAAGTGGGTCAGCATCTCGATATGCCAGAGAGAAATACTTTCTGATGGCTGTTAAAAGAGAGGGAGAGTAATGCGTTCAAGTCTTTGAAGCCTTGTTAAATCAGCACATCTCCACCGGGGCCCAGCATCAGGTTTTTAGAGCAACAGTTTATTTCTGAAACTGGGTCTCACACTGGTCCGCCGAGACAAACTTACGATGTTCATCTCTTTTACAGAAGACAGTCACATCTTCTTACCCCTCAAAAACGTGTATGATTTTTTTTTTTAAATCAGCCCGTGGGTAATAAACCTCCATGTTTCTGCACCTTAAACACAGCCTTTGAACTCTGTTACACAAGTGTTTATATATGTGATGAAATTCTGCCCAACTGTGTCAAATCTCACAGTCAATAATGAGGGATACATCGGTGGCTGCGCCCCATAGTTTAGAGGCCCCATGTTTAAACAGAGGTAAAAATACACACATAAGGTTATGAGTCATGTTTTCCTGTTTTCTTGTTTCTATGTTGAGTAAGAGTCAGAGAGTTTGGATTATGTGCCGTAGTTATCCGAGTGGTTGGGCCGGCTGACCCTGGAGCTGCAGGACGCTCCTTGTGGTTCAGTATTCTGTCAGAAATGTCTTGGTTGTGACCAGTGGTATATTTTTAGACTCTACAGGGTATACCCAAAACTCAAAACCCCCTTCTGATTCACAATATGCAGACATTTTTTCATAGGATGGCCAAGGGATGACCTGTCTCTAATGGGCTAGTACGCATCGTTGCTTTTGTTGGTTGGTTTGGTAAGAATATCAGAATATCACAGTAAGCCAATCAGAGGCAGAGTAGGCGGGTCATGCTTTACCTTTGCCGTCCTCTGAGATATAGCTAGCGGTGGGAACGAAGCTGGCAGCTTAATTTTTCCAGCTTGTCTCCCTCAATGTGAAAATCATCTAATCAAAGAAAACTGTGAAATACTGTTTAGAATGTAACTTTGTAAGGTACTGATGTGTTTGAGAATAAACCAAAATTCAAGACAACAAGTGACCATTGGAGGTGGATGGTGTGACTTTGCCAAAATTGTTTCTTTCAGCATCAAGGGAAAGAAATTATGCCTGCAATCTACCTACAAACAGAACAACAATGACAGATAAGACACAAACAGAACCACCTGTCCTGTAAATGCAGCAGCCAGGTCTGTTTTGTTGCCACCAACAAAGTGGCGACCATATATGCCGCTCATGCAGCCAAGGCCGTTTCTGCTGCCATGACAACATCAGGGGGCCGCAGCCCTCATGAAACATGCAGGACGCAGCTCATTTATTTAGTCCAACTTAACAATAAAACTTTTGCAGAAGTGTCGCTAAATGTTTGAATCAGCACCATGTGGGGCTCAAGACCATTTGATTGTCACGTCAGAGTATCACAAACAGGCATGCCTGAGGTTTTGCGCAGCATTTGGTCTCTGTTGGGGGAGACATTTGGAAACAGGGCAAGCAAACAAGAGCGTAAATCAGAGCAGTGGGGCACAGAGGGGATATTAGAAGAGAGAGTTTGGCAAGAGAGGCGAAGCAACATGAGCAGTCCAGATCAGGAGGAAACTTTCAGTCCTCCTATTTCTGCAATACCATCCGCAACCAAACACCTATCACCTGAAGTGTTAAGTGAGGATTTTATTCCAAGGTCAAATATAGCATCATCTCTTTCCATTTCCCCCCCAACACCATTTCCCAAAACAAACAACAGTTTCCAGACAATACTTGGCTCAGTAGATGTCCTCTTCAGCTAGAAGGTTAAAGCTTGGAGTGTTTCCTTCCTTCGTTTTTTGTCTCCTGATCTTCTGGCATGGCACTGACAACAGATTGTTTTGGATGACAGGCTGACGCTCAATCATGCCATTGTTTCCGCTGTGGATTCATTAACTTTGTCGTTAATGCAGTGATTGCACTATTTAAGAATCATGGGAGAAATCCTTTACCTGTGAATTCAGTTTTGAAAAAACAAATAAAGCGAAAATCTGACTTTGTGTTTCTATGACGGCATCTATCAATCATCCAGTGTCTGCCGACTCTTCAACATAAATGAAGTAATGAAACGACTCACTGTGCTACAGTTACTGAATTTTTTTTCTCTCTGCATTTTAGATGTTCAACAAGATGACCAACGCAGCAGGAGCAGGTAAGAGATCATCAGTCTTCAGGTTGAGCTTTTTGATGTGCTGACATCACTCTTGCAGAAGCTTTCACTTATTCTTTACAAAAGATTTCTCTTTCCTTAAGTCTCATCTGGTAGAATGGAAACTCTGCAATCTGTGTGTATTTCCGATTATCTTAAGCCAGTTTGAAACTTTCTCACTGCTCAGTGCATGCTGGGATACCACCCAGTCATGTTAATCAGAATGAGATGAATTAATAATTGATCGAATTAGGGTTGATCCAAATCAGAAAAATAAAAAAGCCAACAGGAGTGACTAAATGAATCAAGTCACTTCTGGAAGACATTTCAGACCTCAGCAAACTTTGAGGTTATATTGTATTGCAGTTCATTTACAACTCATCCGTTTTGATTTAATGAAGGGTGCATGTTATGCATAATTAGGGCATGACCGATATGCCTGTAAGCAGCATATTGTAGCTTTTGGCAGGAGGCTTAAGGCCTGCCTCAGCTTCACCTCTTTGCTTGTAATTAGGTTGACCAAGGTTTAGGTTGAGACAGAATTTTCAATATGGCAACCGCCATAGCTGGGCTTCAAAGCTCCCCTTCAGGAGCCAGTGGGTGATGTGAGAAAACTGAGACCCATTTTTACACAGGCAAAGAGACTCATTAAAGATGAAGTTAAAGGAAAACTAGTTCTTACTTGATTTTTAATTAAAATCGTCGTCTCTGGGCAGTAAAGTCAGAAATATGATAATTAAAGTAGACATTTTTTTTTACACATCCTGAGTCTAAGAAAATGTCTGAATCTGATTTTTCGCTTATTGAGAATCTGTTCAGTCTTATTCTACTGGCTATTTTAGTCCAATTGAATCATCATGTAAATCTTCTTGTCACTGGCTGCTGCATTGTGACCTGGCTTGTGTGGTGGCTTTGCTCAGGCTTCAAACAATGTTAACCAGACTGACGGCCACAGGTGTGTGCGAGTCTGAAGAATGTCCATGCGTCTCTTATTTAAAGGCCTTGTATATATTGGTCACTTGGCAGGATGCAGTTAAAATTAGGCAGCGGGCCAGATCATTGTTTCTGTTTTGCTGAGGGGAAATATTTGGCCCGTGTGATGTGGCCCTTGGGGGGCAGCTGTGGGATTTGGGTGGATGCCATTTTAGGCCTCAGGTTGCACTCTCACATGACCTCTTCTGTGCACCGTGGTACCGCACAAGTGGACATTATGGTCTGGAAAAATTCCATGTCACTTTTATGTAGCAGTTACCTAATGTGTGGTCTGCGGCATGCGCTGTGACCGATCGCTGGTCGTTCCTTACTGTAATGCCTGGAAACCCGAGTGAGAGACCACCGAGGAGAACATCAACAAGTTTGTCAACACGGCTTTGAAAATCCCTTTAAATACATTTATCATCATAGTCCTCCTTATTAACATTTCCATAGTTACCCACATGCTTTCTGTGGTGGTTTGGTTAGCTTCACTGTCACCCTTATCAAGTCATCAAAGCAAATAGAATCAACATTTGCTTTCAATAAGAATGAAATGAGAAAATCACTCGTAGGATTATGATAAAAATCTGGCTGGGAGTCAGACACATTAGGTGTGATATTCCTTGTTTGAATTTTTAAAGCTGGACTGAGGAGACCTCTTTTATGACACGGATACGAGGTGGCCAGATGGTTCTGGGTATCAACCATAACAACTCCCCCCCCCCCATTAAAATGACATTGTCCAGCAGAGGAAAGCTCATTCTTTTGGTCTACATCCAAAATAGCAAAGCAGCAGAGGTATTCTGTGCTTTAAATGTGACTTTTATTGCTCACATATGCGCATTGTCTACATGTTCACTGTGTTTGCAAGTTCACATGACATCTTCATCAACAGCTGCAGGAAGATATCTTTAGAACAAGTCAGTGTGTAACTTGATCTCAAAATGAATGGTCATAAAACAAAGTACCATTAAAAGGAATGTTTCTGCACATTTGCATCAACTTTTTATTGGCACTTTTCACAATCCATGTGGAACTTGGAAGAATGCTGCAAGAATGTTAATACATAATGAGCTAGTTGTGATAATTAGGTTTCATGTTTTTTTTTATAGCAAAAGACAAAATATTAGTTATAATATTAGTGTGAAAACTAGTGTGAGCCACTTAATCAGGGAAGTGATTCTTTTTGACTGATCTGGAATTCAGCGTCTAAAGCGTCTGCATGCTCTGCAGGTTCTCAGAGAGAGAGAGAGAGAGACAGAGAGAGAGACAGAGAGGGAGAGATGTCAGCTGTTATGTTGCTCTAGGTACAAACATTGAGTTGCAATGTCACATGCTCGATATGCCTCTTCTCACTTTCTTGTTTACAAAGTTTGTTGCAGGAAAACGCTGCTGATTTTATTCTTCACTCTCTTAGTTATGTTTCTAAATATTCAAACAACAGGCCTTCTCAAGCCGTCCTGAAAGCTCCATGAATCAAAAAGTAAAACTCACTTAACTGCATGACCAAGTGTCACATGCAGGCATTTCATTTAGGATTATGTTTAAAGTTTTATATTGTTTGCCATTATAGAAGTGCATAAACAACCCTAGTTAAACTAGTCATGTTATACATTCAAAACGAAACATAGACAACATGTCTACAGATGCTTTAGAGAACAATGGGCAGCTTCTTTTAGAAGTTTAGACCCTTCCAAAACTCTCCCCACTTGTTTTTATTTATTTAATATCATGCAAAGAATTTATGGGAGAAAACATCAGACCCTTAAACCCTCTTAACTTGATGTTTTGTTTTTCCTGAGGCATAAAATAAATCCCAGAGCTCCATCCCAAAACCACATATGGATATGCTCAGGGGAGATTTGTTCAATCGAGGGGGTAAAAAAAACCTCTCAAATGTTTATTTTCTGACTGCATTGCTCAACGTTTATGGAGTATTTTTCAAGTCATGAGAGGATGATGAGTCAAAAGTGCTTTATTCCCCCTCACACAACATCATTTGTATGGAAATCTCAATTCCCTGCAGTCTCTTTAATTGCTCTATGGAAATTAATGGCTTCCTCTGGTGAGAGGAGGCAGCTATGTTCATCCCGAAAAACCCTGCTGCCTGATCTGATATTAATCATGGAATTAATTTACACTGCAAGGATGAAAGCTCCATTTCCAGCCAGGTTTCTGTCACTGATACAGCTCTGATAAGAGGGATGAAGCATTTGTCTGTCTGCCTTGAAACGTGTATTCAGTAGTTGGCAGACATCAAATTCTGAAAAGGATTTGGCTCTGCTTTCATACACGTGTTGTGTATATTTCATTAATGTGTTTATGTTTAACATAAAAATAAAGATTCTAGTGGAGAAAGCCGATGAACCAGGCTCCAAGTAGAAGCAGGTATGCAGAACTCGGTGACTTTTCACTTGCATCAACAAATAAAGGTTCCTGTTCTTTGTTATGATAAACATCACCATCCCAAATGTCAGTCAGAGGGAAAATGACACAAGTGAAGCTTAAACGGCGCTCTGTGGCCCAGAACTGTCAGGCCGAAGCTTCCCACTCTGCCTCTGTGCTTTCAGACACACAGACTGTTTACATTTACACAGATCCACTCTCTCTCTCACTGTCTCTGAAAGAATATGCTAATCTACTTTCAATGTGGAAATCTCCTGCTACTGATTATAAGAAAAACAAAGGAGAAACTCTGTGAGTCCCTCGGAGACTTCTCTCTGTTTGTAAGGAAAGTCATGTAAAGCCTTATGTCTCCCTCGCATGTTGGTGTGAATGACTCCCAGACACAAGCTGCAGGAAGCAGGAATGTTGGGACAGTTTTAATGTCACCAGCTTTGTTGTTGAAATGATTCTGATTTAAGGGTTGTCTTATTAAAGTACACACTGTAGTCTACTGAGATAGATTTTAGAAGTGTGTCTGTGCTGTGAAAGTGAGACGAGGTTAAATGAAAGGTGTACGTTTAGCACCCCTCAGAGGTAATTTCTTTTAATTCAATAAAAAGGGTCATTGTTGTTGGGATTATATTCTTGTGTACTTGCAGCATACATTTTTGCTGATAAGCGGTAATATTTGTGATGTTTTTTGTGACTTTGGATGGTGGTTGGATGGTGTTGACTTATTCCAATGACGTATTGAAGTGAAGTTGAAGGTGCTGTATTTCTTCATGTTTTAGTTTGTTTAGTTGCTATGTCCACTGTCTCAAAACGTGACAATACCAGAATGAAATCTGTAAAAACTTTTTGGCGTGGAAAAAAAAAATCCTTTTGTTTTTAATGCAAAACATGATGGTAGATTTTGTTTTCTGTACTCTGGTGGTGTTTTTGCTTTGTTTATAATGAAGAGTAAAGGCTGAAATGAAAAACATCAAGTCCTCTGGAGAGCCTCCCTTAGCGCAATGAAAACAGGCCCTGGTGATTTTGATTAAGCAGATTTAGAACCATTAACCAGCTCTAGTCTCTTGACTCCCACTGTGGGAGACTGTCCAGTACCAGTGATGTGACTCCTCTGCGTCCCCAGTGATGTGACTCCTCTGCGTCCCCAGTGATCATACACTGCTGTATAAATCACAGTGCAGCACCAGTGGGGATTATATAACATCTATAGCTCTAATGCGTTTCAGCAGGGTTGTCTTATCTGTCCTGGACTCCTGCATGTTCCCCAGCTGCTCTCAGAGACACAGCCTTCAGTCTAAAGGCTGGAGGGGGGGGGGGGGGGGTTACTGTGACCTAGGACAGCTGCAGTCTCTCTTGAGGCCTGTTACAGATCATAATGTACACATCCCAAAAGCTCCATGGCAACAAATGAGGGAATATGAAGCAACCATGTCACCATGTTGTAATCAGTACATCATGTACAACAACAGAGTGGGGCTGTCAGGCAGGATCATGAAATCATCTGTACATTTGGATGTTTTCTGCAGAAAGAAAGATTATTACATCTGTTGTTATTCTTCACATTATGACATCAGTGCCTTTTGAAATCTTTTCTGTTCTGTTACGAAAATTACTCCAAACTTGGTTAAGAG